GGTTTTTCTTTTCTTTTCTTTTTTAACTTTACAGACTGGATTATTTGCTTTATGGTCTGAAACCAGCCAATTTATTCTGCCAGGTCATGCAAGCTAAACATGATTGGGATGTGCTCTTAGTTAGACGTAAGAACAGTGGTCACAAGCCTATGATTTTGGAGCAAGTGTTAGTTTGGAGTTGAACTGAAGTTTTGAGTGTTAGTCGTTTGGAGTTGAACTGAAGTTTGAAAGACCAGTCCAGTACAGCTCAATTGGTTTATTGATTTAAGGCTCAATAATAAATAAATAATCAGTGACATTAAAATGGGCTTTATTAATCCTTGGTGTGTTGAGCAATGGTGCTCAACTCATTCAGGCACACAGACCAGAGGACGTAGTGCATGGGCATTGGTCTGCAGGCTGGATGTTTGGCAGTGGCGAAGCAGTAGCAACGTGGATTGCTCTGACTTCTAAAGCCACAGCAGTTAACACTGCCACCTCTCATGCTGCTGCCAGAGGTCTTTTCTAGACCAGCAGACAGTGGGCTCGATTTTGCTCACCCTTGTTTTGTACAGTTTAAATGGAGCAAGCAGATATAATCCCTCCCACCCGTCTTTTCTCCTCCCATTTTCTTTTCTGCTAGCATACTTCTTAGAGAACATAATCCTGTGAAAGTGATTTGTGCAATGCGCTCATCAAGAAGCAAACAAAACAAAACAAAAAAAGGGAAGGGAGCATGGGATTATACTGACTAATGCCACAGTATCTGCTCATTCTTACTGATCATTCTCTGACACCTGAAAAGTAACAGAAGTGTAAGATGTCCAGTTTTTTGGGGGGAGAGCAGAAACCTTTACTGAGCAATAGTTAAGAATAGTTGAGAAACTGAAGTTCAAAAAAAAAAATTAACTACCCCTTGACATAACAATATAGGAATTTGCTCGGTATGCTTGCCCATAGACCAGCCAAGGCTGAGCACCATTCAAACAGTAGATTAACCTTTTGTCCTTCTTATTTGAATTTGAACTGGACTTTTTATTTGTAAATTTTGAATAATACCCTATTGTATTGCATGCCATCTAAAATACCTTTATCGCAGAAGGGAGACCAATTGTTCACTTCTAATTTTCAGAAAGCAATAATATTGAGTAGACTTTCCCAGGCACTCTAAATGACACGTCTTATTTTTGATACAGGGGTTACAAACATGACATCAGAGAAAATCCAAGAGCCATGATGAAGTTAATGAACAGTGCTGATATTGCAAAGCACTCATTGTCAACTCTGGGAAGTGCAAACTGTTTTGTAGACTCGCTGTATGATGGTTTGGATTTTGATTGTAATGTGTCCAGGTAAGGCTCATTCTTTAGAAATTGTTTCTGTTTGTTTGTTTGAGTTCTTGAGTGTTAGAATTTTCCTTTATTTTTAGGGTAGCTTTTGGCTTGACAGTTTGGAGACGGACATAATTTCAGGGGGACAGTATATTACGATTAAAATCTACTTCCCTGCAACAACATTCAGCAGTTCTAGCAATGCAAATGCTTCCATTGTCTTCAGTAGGATTACTATCAGTGAGTCAAGTAGGCACTGGCATGGTATTGTTGCTAGAGAGAGAAATGAAATTAAAAGAAATACAAAAGGTATGGGGACACTGTCTCTGGAATCAAGGGGATCTCACCAGCCCTCATTGCTGTAGAGTAAGTTCTGAAATTCCTATTGGGTGTTATCTTTTAACCCTGTTCAGTCTTTCACTTGCTCCTGTGTCATGGGAGTTGGGTAAATCCTTGAAGTTCCCACCTTTCTAGCTGTGAAATGGGGGAGAAGTCTTCTATTTCTTTACTCCCCAATTGTATGGTCTGGGATGGAGGCATCTCTTCAATTCTTTGCTGCTTCCCAGAGCCTTTCCTTTTCTACTGATCTGGCTACCTTTCTGGACTCTACCCTGAACTGTCAGTAGCTCTAGTGAAATAAAGGAGAGGAGGTTCTCGGCATTTGTTTCCATGGTTCAGCCTGCTGCTGCTCCTTCACGCCAAAGCAAAACGGTGTTATTTGCCTGCACACTAGGAAATATGCCACAGCATGGCTTACAGTCAGTTCACTTTTGGACTTCTGTGATCTAGTGATGTGAACTAGAACTTTCTTCAGAAATTTCCTTTGCACTTATTGGGCCAATCTTCCCATTCAGGTTGGATTGGGTGGTTTTGCCTACTGGCTTTCGCTTCACAGTCTTATTTGCTCCTGAGCATAAAGCAAGAGGCTGGTCAAGAACCCTGAGTACTCTAATCAACACTCATCCACAGAGATGAACCAATTCATTTTAGTCTTTGCAAGAGGCTCCAGGTTAAAACTAAAATTAGATACTGATGTTCCACCTTTTGAAATAAGATGTCTTGCCTATTAATTTGTTGCCATGTCTTCTACATGGAAAATGGTTCTTTTTATGTAAGCCGTCAAGCCTGTTAAGTATGAGCACCAAGTAATTTTCAGAAAAATAAATATTTTCTGTCTGCCAGGATATTGGGACTCCTAGTTTTCCCAGGCATTGATAGTGGCCATTCTGTAGATTAGACTTTTATACTGACCACTCAATCTTTTGAAGGACAAAAGGTAAATTTGTTCACTTCATTTCTTTTCTAACAGGGCCAGGTTTGAACTTATTTGTTCTCCACTCTTTAATAAATGCATAGAAGCCATTAAAAAACTTCTGCAACAAGTTGGGTTAACTGCAGATGACATTAATAAGGTAATGTTTGAATTTTTTTTTTATTTCATGGGTGCTTTAACTTTGTCTGAAGAATGTATTCTCAAATACTTTGCAAAGCAGCTCCCATCTGCTGTTAATTACTTGAGCTGGGACTATCTTAAGCATTTTCTGGTTACTACACACTGTTTTTATAAATGATGTAGGCTTAATCTCCTCTGTACATGTGTAACTCCATTGGTGTCAAAGGATGTTGTGTTCACATCAAGGAAAAATTAATCTCCTGAGCAACACTTTTTTTAGATTTGTTTGAAAAAAAAAAAAAAGAAAAAAGCAGATGTCTGGAGTCTTAAGTTTTATCTGAAGCTTACTTGTGTTTATATAGCATTTCAAGAACAATGAAGTGATCTATTCAAGGAGATCAAACTCAATTTTTTTGAAGTTGAATTTAAGCCTAGATGCTAGTCTAGGCATACCATCTCTTATTAAAATATTTTCATAGATTTCAATTTTGAACCACTGAAATTAACTTGTAGCTAATGATTTCCTTTAAAAAACTTAAAATGCTGTACCTCAAAATACTAAGAAACCTGGGCTTATTCTAACTTCTGCTGAGGCTAGTGGCATATTCCCACTGTCTTTAGGCATTGGATTAGGCTCTGGCTTGGGATTTCTAAATTAAGGTCTTACTTGGATTTGAGCAAGTCATTTCTGCCTCACCTCCCATGTTAAACAGGGTTATAAGTACTTAAAATTTTGGTAATTTTGTATTTAGAGTAAAAGTGCTTGAAAGCTGTGGAGTGGTAAGTGAAGTGCCATGTATTAATGATTTCCATAATTTGCACTTTAAAAATAAGCAATCACATTTTATCACATTTGCCAGACTGTAATCAGACTGTCCTCATACCTGCATGATCCAAGCTATGTTATAGCAATGCTGCCAAATACTGTAATAAGTCAAACACTTATCCAGTACTGATAATGACTTGATGCTATTTCAGAATCCAAAGTCAGTATTACACACGATCTCTGTGTAGTTGCTTATTAGGGTGAAGAGATTTATTTGAAACCATAGTTTGCACTGACAACCAGCAGAAATTCTCAGTGCAGTGAGGGTTGATCCTGAAGAGGAACTGTAGACAACTTGCACATCAAGAGATTCTGTGATGCACTCAGTTTAAACTAAGCTACAGTAGAGCCAGGATGAGTGCAGTCATGAGTCCTTCATTTAAAAAAAAAAAATCTGGAATAAAAAGAAATAGTGAGAAATCAGGAAACCATAACACGAAAATTTGAATTGTAAACTTAAAAGTTAAACCTGACATGTAAGAAGAATGGCTAGATGGTATTAAATATACTGTGTGTGCTTTGCACCAGAACTCCTGATCTGTGTTAATGGAAATAGCTACTTATGAATTACATTCATTTTGAAGTTGAGTTAATCAAACTGCTGTGTATGTAAGCGGTGCGTGTGTTTTTTTTTTTTCTGAGGGTTCTTGAGCAGATAAGATTCTTCCTCCAGAAAGGACTTCATGCTTGCCAGCTGTTTTCTTCTCTCCTTTTCAGTCAAATACTAACGTTTAAGAAGCCAGACAAAAATAATGCTTTTGCATACTTAGTAATTACTGTTAGCATTGCCATGATCCTAGGTTGTTAAACATTGGTGTAATTCTCTGTCCAACACTTTTGTAGAACTATAAGAAGTGAATTAAGAACTAATCTTTTCTAGGTAGTTCTGTGTGGTGGGTCTGCTCGAATCCCAAAGCTCCAACAGCTGATTAAAGACCTTTTCCCAGCTGTGGAATTGCTGACTTCGATTCCTCCAGATGAGGTCATTCCCATCGGAGCAGCCATAGAAGCGGGAATCCTGTTAGGGAGAGACAACCTCTTGTTGGAGGAGGAAGCACTGTCTATCGAGTGTTCTACCAAAGATATTCTTGTGAAGGTAAGACTAAAAATTATTATATGACTTTCAGCTCCAGTAGTAATAAAGTATCTCTTGGGGCCAATTTATTGATGTGAGTAGTGTTCTTCAACCTGCTAGCAAATCAGCTAGTGTTGTGATGTCATTCAACTTAGGACATTTATCTGTAGCCTGTCTTTAAAAACAATGGAATCATTTCCATTGACTTCAGGACCAGCTTCCCAGGCCACTGACTACAGTACAGTATCTAGACTAGCCTTGTGTACTTGCAGTATATTCTATACTTGCAGTACATCCTATACTTCAAATACAATGCTGTAAATACAATTGCAGTGACTGCAAACATTACAGTTTAACTAAATTTCTTCTTTCTTTTTATTTATTTATTTATTTTTCTTTCTCAGCTACTGTATAAATACATGTCCTTTTTAATTAAAAAAAAAAAAAAAAAAAAGTGACGGCCCTATTTGAGCAGATGGGGCAAAATGGCACCTTGGGAAGTAACTCAGAGATGCATCAGCCTTTTGTAAGCAATGGCTGACTAAGTAAGCCTTTTCCTATTTGCACCTGTCAAAATGAGTTGGTCTCTAAAGTGCCACTCTGCCCTGCCTTCCTTCTGATTTCAGACTAACATGGGTCAGTATAAACTATAGTCTTTGAAACTGAATCTCTTTCCTAAAGTGCAGCGAATTGGCACAAGCACTTACTCTTTCTTTCTTAGGGAGTAGATGAGTCGGGGTCTGACACATTCACAGTACTGTTTCCATCGGGGACCCCTTTGCCAGCACGAAGGCAGCACACACTACAAGCCCCAGGAAGCAATTCCTCTGTATGCCTCGAACTGTATGAATCTATAGGGAAATGCCTTGCAAAAGAGGAGGACAAATTTGCACAGGTGAGAGCATGTACAGTGAGTTCATTTCAAATTCTAGATATGAATTATTTGGAAATTCAGTAAATCGACAGAATACCTTTTATTGTTTTGTGTGTTTATATTAGGTTCTACAGAAATCTCTGAAAATTGTCTCTGAATACCTTCCCATAAACACATCACTAAAGTTTGAAGAAGAATAATCATAAAAATGGAATAAACCTTTCAGCTAGCACCCTTCTCACCTTGAATCCCCAGATTTTATTTTGTATATATGTATGAATCCCCAGAGTGTTGCAAATTATTCATACAGCACTGTGGAAACAGTCCTCTCTAGGCTGATGCATGGCACACCATCCCAGCAACTTAGTGCATTAAAAGTGAGAACTTCAGGTAGGAATATTGATGCCAGTAGTATATAAAATGCCACACTACCTCGTAAAGTCCATGTAGGCTAGATAGGATCTTAATATGAAAAATCACTGTAATATACATGGTACTCAGTCCATAAAGTCCATTTGATAGTCACTGGTTAAGGAGGAGATGGAAGGCAACCTTCTTGGAACAACATTGATGTGCTTCAGAAGGAGGTATGACCAGATCTTATACAACCACATGGAGAATTCCTCCATGGTGGAAAATGTGCCACCCCCAAAAAATAGCTCTTTCCAAAGGAACTTCTGCATACTACTGACAGTTTGTCCGTCTGAAGTTTCCATTCCATTTTAGCAAGAGATAAAGGGTTGCAACAAGTTGGGCATGGAAAGGGAGCTTGGTCCCAAGGAAATAAACATGTTCAGCTCCCAGTGAGGTCAGTGGCAGCAGCTGTAGGTGCCCTGTTCATTTCCAGGATAGGTGGACTTGCATTATCAAGCTGTTTTACAGCCCTCCATACGTTAAATTACCAGTAACAAATTCTGAAAAGAGGACCATTCAATTTATCTGCAGCCCTCCTTGATTTCAGCCAGTGTTTTGGATGCTTAGCACTTCTGAAACAAATACATAAACCAACTGCTTCAGTTTTGAAAAACACCCATGTTTGTTACAAGAATGAAGAACTGGCCAACTGAGCTGACAGGAAATATGTAGCTAGCTTTCACTTTTCCTTACAGCCACTTTAGAAAGGCCTGTTGTTGCACTTTATGTTGGAATCAATACACTTGTTTTTTAAAAACTGTTTTCAATTTTTTTCTTTTGGTTTGTACACTAATTCCTCCAGTTT